GTCACTTTAGATGAGTGTCGCTTTGACTCGTTTTCCTCGTGCTTGCCTTATGGTGAGTATACACTGGACTGTCCTGGCGCGGCTTAGGTACCGGTTTGATAGCATCCCCATCATCTCCGACTCGCAAGTCCCCTAAGCGGGAAGTGCAGATAGTCATATTGTTAACCTCGGTCATGGTCTCCCATGTCCTTAATTTTATCTGATTCCTAAGTGTCACTGAATGGAATCAAATTATCTTGTTTATTTGCCTGTTTAAAACTGTCACCGAATTGTCTGGTGATGTGGATTTTAATTTGTGCAGCAGTAGTTGTCTTGTCTCTTCTTCCGCCATGTTGGCTTCTGGAGTCCGGTTCTAGCTTGCGTTGAGTGGCGGCCAGGTTGTTCAGTTCCCCATCTTTTCTCCCATGTAGCTGGTCTGACTACCTATCCATCCGTCATTGCTTTTCTATCAGGCAACCTGGATCTGATTGCGAGTGCGCAGATCGGTTGTCTGCTAGGGCTTCCGCTTCTGTGCCTCTCCGCGTTGTCCGCATTTTAAGGGCGTCGCAATTCTGGGTCCGATGGTAACTCCCTAAGTGCGCGCAACTCCTGTCGACCGACTCAGGGGATGAACCGCCTCTGGGTGAATTGTCGTAGAGACTGCAACTGTCTCATCCTTTTCTCCAACACCGGGAACCCTTACCGTTTCGCCTCGAATATGCCTGCCCCATGGTGGGCACGTTTACTGAGAAGAGATTTTTCTCGATGTGTTTGCGAGGTATGCTTATATTGGTGTTCCCGTTGGCGGGCGCTTCGGCGGCCGTCAGGTCCAGAATGTAAATTGTTCCTTACGAGCCCCAGCCTCCTGCACGTCTGGTGGGCTGGCTGGGTATTTACGCAACCTTCTGGTGACCAAGTCTTGCGTAATATCTAGGGCCCTGACTGTGCGTCTATGATGTTCATGTATGCGCTATTGATATGCCGGTCATGTGTCTTGACTTTAATGGAGCCCCTGATCGCCGCTGCACTCGCTTAAGGCATTCTTCGCTAAGGTGGTAAGTGAAGAGGCCCAAGTGTTCCGGCGCTTGGTCATTCCATGATGCGTTTTCGATGTATCTTCGCCGTGCTATTTATGATCTAATTTTGCGCATAGGTTGGAAAAAATGCCGGGATTTGTGGCGCTTCGTTGGGACTTATTCCGGGCGGGGTTGGTCGTAATAGATGCAGCCGATCGCTGGCTCCGGTTTACTTCTATTCTTGTCTCTAAATGCATGCGAGTGGCGTTAATAGGTTGGGGCCCTTTCTTTTTTGGTTTGTACTCGCTTGTGCATTTTAGTGTTAAGTCTCCGCGACTTGGGCTGATAAAAAGGCCTGCTGAGCATGGTCAGGCATTTGTTCAACCCTCTAGGGTATTTGGCTTCTGGCTATTGAGGTTGCCTCCAGTGTGTTGGTCTGAGTAAACTCCATCCAGATGCCCAAGCAACTCTGCACCACACGTATAGAAATACGCCAAACCTAGTACGCAGTCGTTTGTCCCTTGGGGGCTTCTTAACAGATTAGTCGTAGCGGTTGATTACAGGCGCGCAGGTGTGCCATTTTGCTTGCTTTTAGACCAGGAAAAAGGTCCTCTTCATACCCGTTAGTTTTCGCCGATGCGCCTATTTTGTTACCTGTCTTCAGTTAGTTCGGTCCAGGAGCTTGGATGGTGTTACTAACCGCTTCACTGAGAGTTTCACAACGTGATAGTCTTATTTGAACTAACTTGTGACCATTGCTACCGCCAGCTGCCTTCACGCCTGTTGTTTGGAAGGCATCGGGCTATCCGCATTATATTAGCATAAGTTATTTAAGGGGTAATCCGATATTAAATTCTGGTTTGATTGGCAGGTGTAGGATCACATTTCTTTTCTGTTGTCGGTCATTTCTTTGGTGGTCTGCTTGGTAGTGCTATGTGGTTTGTGAGGCCGTCCTGTTGGTCAAGTTTGTATGCAACTCTTGGCCATAGCTGTTAAATCTACCCAGCAAACGCATTTTGGCTCAAGGGTGAGCCACGTTTACCTATATAATTGTATGATATACTGGTAAACCGGGTAACTCAATTTGATAGCTAAGGTAGCACTAATTCTCATTCAGCATGGTTATCTTTAATTTCGCTATTTGATGACTTTCCAGACCCAGCTACGCGTACCGAAAGAGTACTTGGTGTGCAAGGCGCGTGTTGGCCAGGACTACATAAGTTTGTCCCTGTGGCTGTCAGCACCGGGTCGCTTCTGTCGACCTACCACGAACACCAAAGAACCTCGTTTTTCTTGCATTGGCATTCCGCACTCTACTTCCGTTCAGCTATTAGGTCAAGCCATATAACTTAATGCATCCGATTGCCCTACCGAGGTTTCATTACCTTTCGCGCATTGGTATTGGAAACAAGGGTGTTGCAGAAATCATACTAGAAACGAGATATACGACGATCGGTGTTTGAGTGAGGCTAAAGAATTA